AAAAGGGGGCCACTGGTGCAGCCTCAGCTACAAGCCACAGATCCAAGGGGAGTACACACCTGGGAGGCTTACCTGCAGACCTGAGACTATACCTGTAATACCTGGGGGGATTTACCCAAAAAAAGGGGTCTGTGGCTTGATGCTTTGGCTCAACAAGAGGCTTGCATTTGAAGAGACAAGAAAACAAGAGACGCAGCAAGGATGAACGTGGAAAGCAAACGAACACGAGAGAGATTGGGAGGAGAAAGTGAGGGCGGATACTTAGCTGTGGGTGGGTTGGGTGGAGAGCAGCTGCTGTTGCACTCCATGTCCCCCGCCACTGCCACTCCCGTATGAGCGACCTGCTCGGACGAGCAGAAAGAGGAAGGGAGGGAGGAGAGGAAGGGGATGTGAAGGGCAATGAGAAAAGAAGGAACTCAGGGCAGGGAGCATCAAGCGAAGTGAGCATGGGCAGAAAACCAAGCAGCAGCGTGAGTGAAGGAAGAACAGAAATTCAAGCATCTGTGGCAGGGAGGGGAAAAGAGGCTCACCTTGTTTCAGACGACCCAGCCCGATACTCTCTCTTCCCACCCCAGCCGAGTGGAGTGCTGCCCCCCTCCCCTCCCACCACTGCCACCTGCACGGCCACAGGGGAGGAGCGCGAGGGAGCGGCGGTGTTGACCCCCACGCCCCTCCCCTCAACGGAAAGGAGAGAACTGAAGAGAAGTGAGTATGCGGCTAGGGGTAGAAATGTGAGAGGAGTGCATGGGTGGGGTGGGGTGGGATGGCAGGTGAGAGCAGAGAATGGGGCCACTGGTGCAGCCTCAGCTACAAGCCACAGACCCACCTGGGAGGCTTACCTGCAGACCTGAGAGTATACCTGTAATACCTGGGGGGATTTACCCAAGAAAAGGGGTCTGTGGCTTGATGCTTTGGCTCAGCAAGAGGCTTGCATTTGAAGAGACAAGAAAACAGGAGATGCAGCAAGGACGAACGTGGAAAGCAAACGAACTCGAGAGAGATTGGGAGGAGAAAGTGAGGGCGGATACTTAGCTGTGGGTGGGTTGGGTGGAGAGCAGCTGCTGTTGCACTCCATGTCCCCCGCCACTGCCACTCCCGTATGAGCGACCTGCTCGGACGAGCAGAAAGAGGAAGGGAGGGAGGAGAGGAAGGGGATGTGAAGGGAAATGAGAAAAGAAGGAACTCAGGGCAGGGAGCATCAAGCGAAGTGAGCATGGGCAGAAAACCAAGCAGCAGCGTGAGTGAAGGAAGAACAGAAATTCAAGCATCTGTGGCAGAGACGGGAAAAGAGGCTCACCTTGTTTCAGACGACCCAGCCCGATACTCTCCCTTCCCACCCCAGCCGAGTGGAGTGCTGCCCCCCTCCCCTCCTACCACTGCCACCTGCACGGCCACAGGGGAGGGGCGCGAGGGAGCGGCGGTGTTGACCCCACGCCCCTCCCCTCAACAGAAAGGAGAGAACTGAGTATGCGGCTAGGGGTAGAAATGTGAGAGGAGTGCATGGGTGGGGTGGGGTAGGGTGGGATGGCAGGTGAGAGCAGAGAAGGGGGCCACTGGTGCAGCCTCAGCTACAAGCCACAGATCCAAGGGGGGTACACACCTGGGAGGCTTACCTGCAGACCTGAGAGTATACCTGTAATACCTGGGGGGATTTACCCAAGAAAAGGGGTCTGTGGCTTGATGCTTTGGCTCAACAAGAGGCTTGCATTTGAAGAGACAAGAAAACAGGAGATGCAGCAAGGATGAACGTGGAAAGCAAACGAACTCGAGAGAGATTGGGAGGAGAAAGTGAGGGCGGATACTTAGCTGTGGGTGGGTTGGGTGGAGAGCAGCTGCTGTTGCACTCCATGTCCCCCGCCACTGCCGTTGGCGTTGACTGCAGGACAGTCCGCACCCAGCAGCACCCACAGCAGCCGTGCTGGCTTTGACGGGAAGAAGCATCGCGCCCACAGCAGCAGCGTAAACGTTGACTGGAGCAGCAGCAGCTGGAGAGGGGACGGGGGAGGGGTGGGGAGCGGCATGGGTGAGGGGAAGGGGCGGAGAGGCAGCGGCAAGCAGGAGGAGGGCAGCAGAGGCGCACACATGCATGGGAGAAGAGAGCGCCAACGAAGGCAACGCCTGCCGCACCACACCCAGGGGAGTACCTCAGTCTGAACCTTACCAGGGCGAACCTGTACCAAGGAGAAGAAATTTTGCACCTGCAATGGGAAGTTTATTACCTGCTGGCCGAACCTGATACCTGAGCGTGGGGGGAGCCCTTGCGTGTGGTGGTGAGCAGGCGTGCAGCGAGAGGCGCTCGTGGCAGCGTGGGGTGGGGCGCATCCATGCAAACGACAAGGCGGTCAAGGGTGAGAGGGTACTTATCTCTGTTACAACACAACCCCGGAGAGTTGATGCTGACAGCTCATGCCACGCAGCACGCGAGATGACTGCAGGCCAGAATAGCGTTAACGCCTTGAGCAGAAACGCCTTCAGCGGAAACGCCTTGAGCGGAAACGCCTTGAGCGGAAACGCGTCGCGTTGAGCAGGAGCCAATGCGTGATTCGAGGGGTGAACCTGCGAGACAAGGCACATACGAAACATAAATATATGTTAATTGGTGTCAAAAATGGCACGGAATAATCAGAAACGCGACTCTCGTGGCGGGCTATGGTAGATGCCGACTAACCTCCCCACTCCCATCACTTTGACGCTTACATTGAAAGTCGTGGACGTTCGTGAAAACGCGAAACTAAAGCTTCGATGGTGCGTCCTGAAACGTCTCAAAACGAAGAAGATGGTTGGGCGTAAACCACAGCACCACGGTGAGCTTGTGCTGCCTGCACGGAGAGAAAGAAATGCGTGTAAGCTCAGAGAAAATCGAGACGGCAGATCAGGGAGCAAACCCATGAGAGAAACAGAAGGATAATGGAGCTTGAAGGCTTAACGTCGAAACGTACCGAAGAGGCAGACACGGCGAAAATTGTTGATCCTGACGGCGAGATTCTTCTCCTCACGGCGAGATTCTTCTGCTGACGGCGAAATTCTTCCGTAGATTCAAAACGTCAAAATCGCCTCTTCCTACGACGAATGTCTTCTTGCTGAAGGGGAAACCGTTGCTTCTGACGACTGCTGACTGTTGACGACTACAAGGGTTACTGACGGATAAAACCGCTGCTAATGGCTGGACGGACAAACTCGCTCAGCTTATGGCCAAAAACTTGCCGAGGAAATCACCAATAATGACCAAAACTGCTGCTCATCACCGAGGTTGCTGCTACGACAAAACTCCCTGCGGACGAAACCGGTGCTGAACGAGAAATTGCTACTGGTCGAAATCGGCGATGCCGAAATTGCCAGTCATATATTATTTCAGATAATCGGCGATGTCGAAACGGTTCATGCGGAAAACGAACATCGGAAAACGTTCATGTCGAAACGTTCTATACAGGCGAACGACTGGGAATGGCGCATCGAACTGCGTTTGCTGAACGGAAAATGTGAGTGGAAACTTGGAATGGCTCAGGGCTTGTGAGACTGAATTGGAGAGCAGCCTGGGAAAGAAGGCTGTTAGTGACGGAATTCGGAAATGGCTGCTGGTGTTTCCTAGCTGCCTATGCGATGTTTGATTGGGATTGAGAGACGTCAGAGCGGTTCAGATTGGTTGACAAGGGCGAGTAGAGGTTAGGTTGTCTGGTCTGCCATGGTGTTCAGTTTGATGAACTGCAGGTTTCTTTCGCAAGCAGAACAGAAGGTTCAGCATACCCCAGAGCCATGCCAGCCAATCCCAAGGTTGGTTTCAGCGGCGGCAGCGGGAATGGTGGTTTTCGCTTGCGGCCCAAACCATGGCGCAGCGTGACTTTTGGCGCAAATGTGTGGTGGCTTCGCTGAGTGGGGAAGCGATTCCGCGGTTCACGAAGTCGGTTGCGATTTACTTGAGTTTTCGTCATGAGGCCAAACCCAGCAGTAGTAAGGGCAACATTGCTTGACGAGAATCGCGAGCGTCGCCATTCTTGTCGAGAATGACCGTTGGCTTCGAAACACGCGGGGTGGCGGAAGAGCTCCCCCCAAAATGACTGACACTTGCTGGTGCAGCGCAATCGCTCAGAGCTTTGGGTAACCAACCTGGAGGTTCGGGATTCTACACCAATGGATAGGCTGCGAAAAGGCAATCTCTGGGATTTTTGGAAGGTGGCATTCGAGAGATTTCCAAACCACCGCTGAAGCATCCAACGGACGAAACAGGTTCGCGCTGAGGTGAACAGATTCTTTCTGCTTGTCCAGAGACTTCAATGTGTTTTTCATCCGTTGGTCCAGAGCACATGCCTGTAAACACAGGACAAAAATCAAGTGGTTTTTTTGTTTTGGAATATGAAGTATACTCATGACAAAATCAGCTCACTACATTTTGATTGTTATACAACAGAAAAGTGTTAATCTCCATGATTGACCCTATGGGTCGTATGATAAACTAAAATCACAGCACATACGTATTATAGATTCAATACGAAAGTATGCCTTAACATATCGTTTCCTTTTTCATGCATCGAAATTTCAGATGTTTTCTGGCCTTATTTCATTAATTGTTTACTGAGCCTACTTGAGTTCCATTATCCTAAACAGTTATTTCAAATTTCGTTTTTGTTGGAAGATAGAGAGAATGATATTTCATGAAAGAAGCCACTACAGACTCTGACCGTGGTGATGAATCCGCTACAAGGTTTTTATTTTGAAATTCGAACTTTGAAGTCGCCGAGGACATAGCTTTTGAGATCAGGCTTTTCCGCCCATCCTTCATTCTGCCATCCATAAGAGAAGCCCCTCAACCTTCTCCCGATTGTTTCCTCGTTCGTTCAGTCAGACTCACCTCGTATTGAACGTTTCGTCGACCAGAAGTCTCCGCAATACAAGTTGGCTAAGCTTGTCGTTGATTTGAACCTTCGTAGCTTTCACACTTATAGCTCGTTACCTTCCAGTTCCCCCTTGACCTCCTCATAGTAGCTCCTCAGCTACTAAGCACGATGTTTGAGGCGCGTCTGGTTCAAGGAAGCGTGTTAAAGAAGCTTCTTGATGCGATCAAAGACCTCGTCACTGATGCTAACTTCGACTGCTCCGCCACTGGCTTCTCACTCCAAGCCATGGATTCTAGCCACGTCGCACTCGTTGCGCTTCTCTTGCGAGCAGATGGGTTTGAGCACTACCGATGCGACAGGTGAGGAACGAATAGGCATTTCTAATTGCTTCAACGTGGATTTTAGCGCCCATATTGGCCACAGAATGGGGTGTACGAGCTGACGTTTAGCAACTGTTGTGCTGCAGGAATCTCACATTGGGGATGAATCTGGTGAACATGGCCAAGATGCTGAAATGTGCAGGCAATGATGACATCATCACAGTGAAGGCTGAAGACGACGGCGACACAGTCACCTTCATGTTCGAAAGCCCAAGTAAGCTTTTCCCTTTCCCAACAAGCAGGTCAAAAGTAAATTGTCGAGTTCAACACGCAGTAATGTAGTACCATGGGTGCGGATCCATAATTGACAATCGATGGGTTGCTCGGTGGAATGATTGTTGATTCTGATGTCTGGCGATGGTGTGTTGTTCACCAGAGCAAGACAAGATATCTGATTTCGAGATGAAGCTCATGGACATTGACAGCGAGCATCTCGGCATTCCCGACGAGGAGTACGATGCCAATATCAAGATGCCAGCAGGGGAGTTCCTCCGCATTTGCAAAGACCTCAGCTCCATTGGCGACACAGGTGAGGGATGTTTTGGTTTTGCTGTTTATGTGCGGGTGCTACTTCTGATTCTGAAGGTGCTATTTCCTTGTCTCCAACACCCACCTTGTTGCAATGAGCTCCTAATACGTACGTCCACTTTATATTTTGGTGCAGTAATCATAAGTGTGACTAAAGAGGGTATAAAGTTTGCTACATCAGGCGACATTGGTAACGCCAATATAGTCTGCAGACAAAATTTGAATGTCGATGAGGTGAGCAATTGACATGTGCACTGTGCACTTCATGAACTCCTCTGTGGGCTCCTGTCTTAACGTTCTGCATATCTGCCGTATGATTTTGCAGCCTGATGATGAAACAGTCATCGATATGAGGGAGCCCGTATCACTTACATTTGCATTGCGGTACCTGAATTCCTTCACCAAGGCGACTCCACTGTCTGGTGTTGTGAGACTGAGCATCTCCAAGGACCTTCCGATCGTTTGTGAATATGCCATTGCCGACATGGGCTACCTTCGATTCTATCTAGCACCAAAGATTGAGGATGAAGATGAGGCCAATTCATGAGGTGCGTGCACTATCTGTCACTTACATTCATTGGGACACATGCTCAGGTACAAAGAGGGAGTGCTAGTGAGCATGGTGGGAGGGAGGGGATTTATGGGGGGAATGGTAACATAGTAGGGATGGTAAACATCACAGGGGAGCTGTGCTTGAGGGAGTTGTTCCAGGAAGAGTATAGTTGTGAGGGGTTGTCTAGCAGGGAGGGTGTGAGACGCAGAGCTTGTGTCAAGCTCGTGGTATTGTAGGTCCAAGCCAAGGCTGGTCATGCCTGCTTCGGGTCCTTACTCGTGTGTATTCTGATGCTTTTGCCTTGGTGTCGACAGGAAACAAGATCTCCGGAAATATCGTGTTGCAATCAAAATGATTTGTGTTGCACTTTTTGTAGGGCAACATATTGAGGGAGTTGAAGAACTTGGCGTTGTTTGAACATAGATGACCTTGGAATAGCAAGGTATTGGATGGAATTCAAATCAGCTACTGTACCAGTAATTCCAGTGAAACATTTTCAACAACAAAGCATGTCAGGAAAATCCAAAAGGTGTCCACAATCCAATATAGTGCATGTATAATCCAATACAGCTGCATACTACATATAATCTGTATGGGCATCACGTCTTACAAATCAAAATGACCAACTGGCGTTAACTGTCATCAAGCATAAATTCGAGGAGAGAAATGTTTTATAGTGAGTGTTTTGCACATTACCCAATATTATTCAGTATAAATGTTCAGGTAACAAAAATGTTTACAAGCAATTTTACTTACTATTGTACATGCTAAATCTAAATGACGTGTAACAGCAGAGCCCTCCTCGGCCAAACCAGCACGGTCAGATGCCGCAAGGCCGAATGCCCTATATATTTTTGTTGGTGAGAGCGATAGCGCTACATTTCCCTGTCTGACGTTCAGACGTTGAACCTGTCAACCTCGCCACGATGACTCTGCAAAGCCAGCTTCTGCACTCTGTTTCGCCGTTGAAGAGACAAGAGTGCAGCCTTTTGTGGTCAATGTTCTTTGCCATGGTTGCAGGATTTGCGTGCACGCTCGTCCTTGTGAAATTACCAATAACTGATAAAGTAACAGCCATTCAGCAGCCTGAGACCCTTCCGATTCCAACGAAAAATGTAACATTCAGAAGAGCTAAGGCCTTCTACCTCAACGTCAAGTATACAGATGTAAACTGGCTTCAGAAGCACACATTGAAGTACCAGACAGATGCTGCAACCAAGAATCTTGTTCACGACCTTGGAAGCCAGAATGATCATGTGATGCTTCACTTGGCTCATCACAAAACAGGTAAGAGAATCGTTTGTCAACAATCGAACTTGTTCCTCAACTAAGCTCGTTATGTTACAGGCACAGCTTGGTTTTCTCGAATCTTCAGCATTTTCGGAATGCGGTCTAACATGAAATTTGTCAAAGGCGACATTCAAAGCTGCATCGATTCAAAATCGAAGATATGCCAGGTCCGGGTCATGCAAGTTACGCTTGGACTCAGAAGGTAGTACAGTTGTCTAACGTTCGTACCAATCCTTTCAGATCAACAACGCGGCTCTAGGCTCACTTAAACTTCTGGGTGACAAAAAATACAAGGCCATTATGACAGTCCGAGATCCCAGGGATGTTGTGGTCAGTGGATATTTCTACCACAAAACAACACAAGAACCATGGGTGCATGAGCCACGAAGCGAGTACGGAGGGAAATCTTATCAGCAGGTAAGAATTTGACAAGGCGATCAGTTGAGTGTGTTTCTAATCGTAGGAGAGTCTCAAGCATGCTTTTGGCCAGATGCTGAACAACGTGAGCAAATCCGCTGGGATCAATATGGAAGTGGACATGATCACTGGAAGTACTTGGAGGAACGACACACAAGGTGAGTCCGGAATCAATGTCCACATAATATTAACAACGAATAATCACCATTGATGTCTGACGCAGGTGCATATGCAACTGTTTTGAAAGACTTTCTGAGAGTAAGAGATTCTCGGTTCACCTTGGTACGCTATGAAGACATCTGGTACCAAGAGCAAAGAAGGATAGGCTCAGCTTTTGCATCCATTGGAGCTTGGTAAGTAAATTCTGTTTCTCTGTAAGGCTACGTATGACGTTTTATGTACTGTGATTCTCATTGTGCAACTTTTATCAGGTACGAATTGAAGAACAGCCTGCTTCTGAAGATCTTCGTCCAAAGTGCAGTGAAGGTTGGCCAGGAAAGTGCAGCTTACCGCTCTGTTGCAAAAGGGGTGCTCTCTGCTGAAGACAGTGGGAAGGATCACTTCAGGAAGGGCACACCAGGAGATTGGAAAAATCACTTGACAAAGCAAAACAAGGGCTACATACGTGAGAAGCTGGGGTCTCTGTTGGTGGACCTTGGTTATGAGAAGACTATGACTTGGTAGTTTTGGTATTGTTGATACGGTAGCTGACACGATTTTGTCATCTAATTTGACTGGTATATTGGAAAAAACCCTTACATACGGAAGTTCACTCAAACAAGTTGAAACACCAGTATGGCTACAGTATATTGGATTCAAACAATGTGCCAACAAAGATGATACCGACATCGCATGAAACGACAGGCGACTCTTCTGTGACATCACTCCAAATCATCGTTTTTGTTGAGAGAGCTCCCTTCAACAGAGGCAGCATGCCTTGGCTTCTGGATCTTTATCACCAGTGGCTGCTTTTTTCTTTGGTTTGCAGGCACCTTCGTAGCACCAGGAATGTCGATGCTTGCTGAACTGACTTTGCCCTGCGGTGCAGGATCCTGTGTGCATAACTCACCTGCGGCTTCCCTTGCGACATCCATGCACGTGCCAACATCATCAGTGGCAGGCGCTACACTTGGACCAGCACCAGAATCAACCAACGCTTTGTCCTTCACACCTTTCAAGGAGGCGCCTTTTTGCTTGACTTGGTTGGACCTGCCTGATCCCGCCTTTTCCACCGAAACTGGTCCCACTGTTTCTGCGGCAGCCTTTGCCTTTGCCCCACGTTTAGGTGCTGGGTTCCCAAGCTTCGGCTTCAGAAGATTCTGTGGAGCACCAACCTGATCAACTTTGAGTGAACCCTTCCCGTTCGAATCCAATCCCCTTTTCTGCCCTACTTCTCCCACTCCAACAGCCAAACCGACTGGCCCTGTACCCTCTCCAGATTTCTCTGCTCTTTATTTTCCACACTCTTGCCTCCCTTGGCATTCACACTACCTGCGCCCGCACTATGCATATGCTTCCTTGCATCAATCGCATGTGGCCCTCCGCTCTCGGCATCTATTGTTTTTTCCCTCACTTTTCCGATATTTTTCACCACTCCTCTCACCTTCAGTTTCCCTGTCTTTACCACCGCCACTGCCACTCCGCCTCTCCCACTTGCCCCAGCACCAGCATGTGTACCACCAGGGTCAGCAACAGCAGATACAGCACCGGTGGCAACTCCTGGACCAGACAGATTAGCAGCATCTGCTAGCGTAGTTGGACAAACTCCAGCTTTAGACGTTGTTGCTGTTCCTGCTTTCAAAGCGGACGCCTTACCAACGCCCTGTGCTGCTACTCCTTCCATCTGTTGCTCCAGCAGCTTTACAACTGAGCCTCTGTCTTTGCCCTCCCCAAGCTTCCATTTTTTCACAGGCCCTGTACCCCTTCCACCCATAGCCAATGTTCCTGCAGCTCCTTTGCCCGAACCAGACCAAGCAACCTTAGCTGCAGCTGCCTGTACACCCTGGCCTGATCTGGCATCGCTCCCTTGAGGTGTGTTTGTGACCGGCTCTCTTTTCACAGCAGCTGTTTTTCTGGCAAGGACTTGGCTGATCCTCTTCCTCTGGACCCCTGTCCTGATGCTGGCGCATTGCTTGTACCCACCTCTCCAACACCCTTTGCTACTGATGAAGCCCCCACCCTCCCTGTCCTGTCAGAAATTGTCCCTTCAGCAGCCACATTCCTTTTTTTTAATGCTACTGCAGACTTGACTGGTACGACTACCTTAACTTCCTTGATCACAGGTGCCTCGGATTTTGTATGTGCTAAAGCCACGGGTGCACCTTGCCGCTGTTGAGTCGCCTTGTTCGCTGCTGCTTTCTTGGCTTGACTGGCCTTTGCATCAACAGCGCCTGGTCCTGCCTTCGCTGCTGTGACTGCCGTTGCTGTTGTTGCTGGTGTTGGTCCACGCATATCGTCATCCGCACCATCGACAGCCGCATCAACAGACGCCACTGGGGCAGCGATACGTCGAGCACTCTCATCAGCAACAGCCACTGCTCTTTTCCTTTTCAGCACTGCTCTCATACTTTTTGCGCCACCCTCACCACTAACACCTGCCGTCTGCACACCTCCTCCAGCAGAATTCCTCACCACCCCACTCGTTCCAGCCTCCTGTCCCCTTAGCTTCCCGGCCTTCCCACCCGTGTTTTCTCCCACAGCCCCAGCCACTGCCATTTCTGACTTCTTCTTCTGCACAGACGCCCCCTGCCTGCCTCCTCTGTTGGGTCCTGGATGACAAGTTGATGGAGTGCCTGGGTGCATTTGAAGAGCCGAATGGGACATTGATAGACTCTCATGAATTGATGGAGCAGCAGGAGTTGAGGTTGCCTTTTGAGTCTGCTTCGCCTTGAGGACAGGTTGAACGCCAGGTTTGACTACAGCCATGGAAGGAGGCTTGGCGGGAGGCCTGGCAAGAGGCTTGACGGAGGGCTTGGATGTGGGCTTGCGAGGCCTTGACAAAGAAGGGCCAGTGGATGGGGATGCTTCCTGGGCCGGCGTAGCTGCAGCTGTGAGCTGCTTCTTTCCCTCAGCGACCTTTCCTGCGTCATTCTGCAGTGACAATGCCGGCCTGCTCCCCTGGCGCGAAGGTGCCGCCTTACCATCTACTGCTCCACCTGCTTTGATTTTTCTTATAATCTCTCCACCATCTCTAAGCCAACCGAAACTGCTCTTACAATGCCCCGCACCTTTTCTCTCATCTCCCTTATTCCCACCCCCTGCATCCTTCCCATCCTCTTCAGCCTCCTCATCCCCATCCTCGTCCTTCCCATGCGCTCCTCCCACAGAAGCCATCACATTACCCAACTCCTTCAACCGATGCTGACGCCTCTCCTCCAGCCGCACATTCTGCTGCGGAACCACGTTATCACTTTCTTTCCCCTCGTCTTGCACCTCATCCTCCACTCCACGCACCTGCCATTCACCTCCCTCCACATCCACCCTCTCACGGCCCACATCCCTTCCATCCACCACCTTTTGGCCTTTCTCAAAGCTACCTCGTCGCATGTCATCCCTATCCTCCTTCCACTTCCCCTTCAAAGAGGAGCCATTAATGGCAGCGCTCGGTGCAACTCTGACTCCATCTGTTCGGCTGCACCCTGTCCAACCGTTCACTACTCCTTCGTAAGCTGCTGCTTCTGCCGCTGCTCCTGCCGATGCTTCTGCCACTGCCGCTGCCGCAGAGTCTCCTGTTCTTCTCTTGTCTGCTTCATTCACCGCGTCTCCATTCCACCCGGCGCTGTGACCTTCCAAACACATACTCCGCCCGACATCCTCTCCTTCTGCCTCCTTTCTCTTCAAGCCAGCCTGAAAGCGCCGCGCCAGCTTGGGGAGGCGAGCAAGCGGAGGCTTGAGAACAGGTGCAGCACCAGTGGGGGAGCAGGAGGGAACTTTGGGGGGATGAGGGGAAGCCTGGAGACCCGTATCAGCAGCATCTGGGATAAGAGAACGGGATGGAGAGGCAGCAGCAGCAGCAGCAGCAGCAGCAGCAGCAGCAGCAGCAGCAGCAGCAGCAGCAGCAGCAGCAGCAGCAGCAGAAGGAGTCTGGGCTGGAGCAGCAGGGGAAGGAGCATCACGGGAGACAGCTGCAGATGGCGATGCAGTGATTGCAAAACGAGCTTGTGCATCGGCAGAACGCACTTTGCAAGGTGAAATATTCTGCTCCATCCGCTTTGCAGGGCTACGTGCAATTGTGACAACAGCTGCAGACACAGCTGCTGTTGAAGCAGCTGCTGCAGTTGACTTCAGTGCTGTTGCTGTGGTGACCTTCGCCTTGGCTTCTGTGCCTGGAACCAGAGCCTGTTGACCCTCGTCTTCCTGTCTGTTCAAGGCTGTCTCTCGTTGCACCCGCTTCCACCCCTCTGCCAGCTCCTCTGCCCGTGCCTGCTCCTCCGCCTGCATCTGTGCCTGCGCCTGTTCAGCAGCAGCAAGGGCAGCCAGGGACCGGCCATGCACCAGAGCATAAGCCACTTCCAGCAACTGCGTGCTCAAACCATGCAGCCTCGTTCTCCATTCCTCCACCTCCTCTTCCTCGTTGCTCCTTCCTTCCTGTGGCGATTCCCCCCCTCCCACTTGCTCCACTACTTCACCTGCCTTCCCGCTAGACCCCGCACCTTCTCTGGCAGCAGCTTTCATTCGCTTCATTCCCAGCGCTCCCCCCCCACCACTCACTCCCCCCTTCTTTCCCCCCCCTAGAACTTTGCCAAAGGGAAGCTCCCCTGAGGCCTCCCGCTCTAACGCCTGGGCTGATCGCAACAGGGCTAGTGCTCGATCCGCATCGCTTTCACTTGCCTTGGCTTTAAGAAGGAGCAGATTGACACGAGGGGGAGTAAGTGAAGGGAATGAGGAGGAAGGAGGCCCAGCAGAGAACGGAGACGGAGAGGAAGTGGTGCAGATGGATTTGCCTGGAAACGAAGGAGCATAAGAGGGAGTGGAAGGGAGGGACGTGGCAGCAGACCCAGCAGCGGATGCAACAGTGGCGGAGATTGCACCAAAGGCCTTTGTGCTAGCGCTGGACGGAAGAGCCAGAGGCGATTGTGATTGCATGGGATTGTGGAGCGGAGCAGCGGCATCAGAGGCAGAAGAAGGATATGGTGCAGGTTGCACGGGCATCCGAAATTGCAGCAGTGGTATGGTAACTCTGAGGCCTCCTCTCGCCAATACAGGGACAGACCTTGCTGATCCTGCTTCGACACCTACTGCTGCTGGTGAGCATGGTTGATCCACTCCTTCCTTTCCCCCTGCACCTTCACATACTTTCCCGCCCATACCTGCTTCGTCCATACCCTTCCCAGCATCCCGCCTCCCACCTTCCTCTGCTTCTTTCGCCTCGTCTTTGCCCTCCTCATCCACTTCATCCTCCTCCTCTTCCTCCTCCTCATCATCGTCAGAGATCAAATTGAGTACCGAATCTTCACTATCACTTCCACCAACCGAGCCTTCTTCAGTTTCTTCCAGACACTCTCGTTCCTCTAACCCAATGTGTTCTTCTGCCCCCCCGTTATTGTCCTCTTCCCTTTCTGCCACAGCAGCTCCCTTACACAGAAGAGGAGGGGTGGCAGATGGCAGTTCGGAGAGTGAGAGCGGGTGCAGCCAGGGGAAGAGAGGCCAGGCAGAGACGGGGAGGATGTCTGAGAGAGCGCCGAGTAGAGCATGGGACCAGCACAGCATCGTGTGCAGGTGCATTCGCTGGGCAAAAGCAGCAGCATGTCTCAAAGGGGAAAGAGAAAGAGGGGTGGGGAGAAGAGCGGTGGAGGAAGGCGAGGGGACGTGGGGCGAGCTATGAGGAGGCACAGGCACAGAAAGCGGTGCTGAAGGAGTGTGGTGAAGAGCCGAGGGTGGAAGGGATGAGAACGGTAGTAACGGTTGCGGTGCATCTTGTCCGGCTGTGGTTTGGGTTTTACACGTCTGAGTTGGGTTGGCGATGTTGCACGGGGTAACTAGATGCTTGAAAAGAGGGCATTTAGGAGCCGGAGGGCAGGGAGGAGGAGGAGGAGGAGGAGGAGGAGGAGGAGGAGGAGGGGAGGGAGCTCTAGTCCTGATTTTGGCAGCAGCTGATGCGAAAAAGTCGAGGTCACTCTTGTGAGCGTACAGCTTGAGAGCTGACAGGGCGTGCCTGTGCGTGGGAAGAGAGAGCACAGAGCAGAGCGGACACACAGAATGAGATTGAGTTCAAAGTGTAGACTCCATAAGCATTCACCATAGAGTGGCAAAGCAGGAGCTGTGGATTAGGAGGTGTGGACACATGTGGTGCGATTCTTACTTCACGCATGACGCAAATGCAGCTGCACTCACCATTCTGTCATATCAAACCAGCTCCTCTCCTGCTCCTCCTCCCAAGCCAAGTGCTGTGCTGCTGCGTCGTCCTTGCCACCAGTTCTATCCTCCCCACCCCTGGTCACTGTCTCAACGTAAGCTATCCGGGACAACCGGAGCACCTCAGCTGCCTCGCCCCAGATAGAAACGTTGTCCAGGTAGAGCGTCAGTAGCCTGTCCCCTACTGAAGCTTCTGCTGGCTCATTCCCTGAATCTCCTTCTGCTCGCCGTAGACTAGCCGAAGAGCCATCAGCAGCACAAGCAGCAGCACCAGCAGCTGATGCGCCGGGAGCAGCAAGACCCAGTACGTGAACAGTGGCAACAGTGGGAGAAGCATCAGCACCAGTGGAAACCGCAGCAGCAGGACCAGCACATGAAGCGAGGGCCTCAGCAGCACCAGCTACTGCAGCAGAAGGGCTTTCAGGTGGACCAGCAGCAGAAGGAGCCGGAATTGCAGATGCAGCAACATCAGGCACAGGAGCAGGCGCAGATGTGGGAATTGTGCTTGTCGAAGGGGCAACGCCCAGTTCAGCAGAGGTATGTTGCGTAGTTTTCTCAGAGGATGGGTGCGCAGAGGCATGAAGCGAGAGAACGAAGAGTGCGAGAGCTAAGGGCACTAGGTCAACGAATGCTGTGGAAAACTGAGGGAAGCGCAAAAGCGGAGGGTAGGCAAGGAGAGAAAGAACAAGTGAGAAAACAGCCTTGATACCTCGTGTCCTCGCTCAGTGAACTGGAAACAGGTATTGAAGAACGACTGAATCAAGTACAGCCAAGCCAAGGCAGGAGGAAGAGAAGGAGACTGACCTCTTTGTCAGTCTTGAGAGTGGAAAGCGCCCCTTCCAAGGCAGCAACATCGCGGGTGTAGCAGCAGAGCCGGAGGTACATCATCAGGTACACTCGCACACACGTCATGAACTTCCGAGAGCTCTCAGCCACCTCCACCGATGCCAGCCCCACCACCTTCCTCCTCACCCTCGCCCCCTTCGACCCCCCTTTTGGCCTCGGGGCATGCTTTGTGTGAATGCAGATCTCCCACATGTTCATTGCAAACGCCACTTTGGCCTTCCGGAAGCAGAATCCGAGCTCTGATTTGGCACGCTCCAAGTCTCCAGGCACTCCCCGCCTCAGATACGCCTTCGCCAGGCAGTACCTCCCCCTGTGGAAGTGCTTAAAGTCGCCTTCTAGGCACTCTCTCACCCCCCTCTCGCTCTCCTGGAACAGATGCTGCCACACCAACGGCCAGTGCTGCCGCAGCTGTTGGATCTCAACCACAGGAGCGTTCTGCTTCTTCTCTTGCTGCTCCAGCTGTTCACCTTCCCCCTCCTCTGCTTTCTGCTTCTGCCTTTTCGAGTCAGCTACATCTGCATTATACTCCTCCTCACACTGCACAGCTGGTTCTGCAGCTGCTCTTAAGGCTTCCCCTCCAGCTGCACCTCCCTGTTCTGCTTGACCCAAGGACTCTTTTTCTCCTGCCAGTCGCAAGTGCTTCTTGCCGGTGGTGCTGGGCAGGTCTCCGCCCTTCCGCTTCTTAACAGAGCTGGAATCCTGGGTTGACTCAACTTGGGTCGGCTCAACTTGGGTCGGCTCAACTTGGGTCGGCTCAACTTGGGTCGGCTCAACTTGGGTCGGCTCAACTTGGGTCGGCTCAACCAACACCACATCATCATCCTCATCTTCACCCTCCCCACCACTCCCACCACCACCATCACCACCACCTTCATCCTCTTCATTTTCCTCCTGACTTCCTCTCAGTCCGTCCGTCTGTGTCCCGCCCTCTTTATCCTCTGTTTCCCCATCCTTTCCCTCATCAGTCTCTTCCTCCTGTGCGGCCCCCTCCTTCCCCTCCTTCGGCCTCTCCACCTCTAATACCTCATCGCTCCCACCTTTCTCAACTTCCGCTTCCTTGTCAACTCCTGGCAATCCAGCCCCCATCCCCATCTTCAATACCTCGTCACTCCCATCCTTCTCATCCGCTGCTCCCTTGTCAACTCCCCCCCCTTCTACACCCCCCCTCTCCACCTCCAACAACTCGTCACTCCCATCCTTCTCACCTGCTGCTACTGCCTTGTCAGCTGCCGCCCCTTCTGCAACCCCCCTCTCCACCTCCTTCTCCCCGTGAGCCTCTCCTCTGCCCTCCACACCTTCGACTTCTCCACCCTCCCTTTTTTCCTCTCCCCCATCTGTCACATGGTCATTGCCCCTCGCTATGCTCCCCTCAGCTGCAGTCACACCCCCTCCAAGCTGAGCCTCCTCCTCATTCTGCTGCAGAAGCTTGGCAAACACATCCTTGGTGTCGCTATTGGACACAAGCGCCTGAGCACCACCCCATACCATGCAGCACCCCACCAAACAGACATACAAATAGGAGAGTGTGTGCGATCGAGTACGGTAACGAGCAACATGATGGCAGGATGTGAGGCAGCAAGTGCTGCTATGTATGACAGCACCTCCTGGCATCATCACCACTAATCATCCTGTCATTCCCACTCGCCCTTACATCATCATCACCGTTCATCCTCATGTCATCATCACTCGTCATCCTCATGTCATCATCACCCGTCATCCTCATGTCATTATCACCATTCTTCCCCAATCATCATCATTACCACTCACCCTCATTTCATCATCACCATTCTTCCTTCCCATGTCAGATCATCACAACTCACCCGGATGTCATCATCACTCAGCGCAGCCTCCAAACGGCCCCTTGCAAGCGCCTTCATCCGTGAGGCGTGCAGGCGGTAGGCTGTGTCCACAGCATTGGGACGCAGGGAGACAGACCGGCGCATCAAGGAGAGGGCGAGAGAGGCGGGCAGGTGAAGCTTCTCCGCGAGCTTGCCCTGAAAGAATGGGTACTGCCAGTTTGGACTGAGACAGAGGGGGTCCGAATGGGAGGTGGATAGGGGGTGTTGGTGCACGAGGAAGGGAAGAAGAAGAGGAAAGGGGATGAAGGAAAGGGGGAGAGTGGCAACAGAAATACGAGACGGCAAATACGAGAAGGCATGGAGGGATGGGCGGGGCGCCTCATTGTCTAAATGCCTCAAAACAACAGCTATTGACAACTATGGGCTTGGAGGCAAGGAGCGGGGAGGGGGCAATAGGAGAAGAAGCATACAGAGTTGAAATTGCAAGAGGTGGGCGAGGAGACAGACGGGCCAAGTTCAGGAGCAAAGGGAGCAGCTTACGAGAGTGCTTGGAGAATGCGGAAGAGTTGAAAGGCGAGGCGGCAGCGGTTGAGCCAGAGGTCATCCTTGACTTGCGTGTGCCTGAGCCTGTCGAAAGACGGCACCACATTCTGAATCGAATCATACACCACAAACGCCAGTAGCTCCAACACACTCACCACCCTCTTCCTCTGCTCCTCACACCCCTCCCAAGCCTCACTCCCCTTCCGCCCCTCCCAAACCTTCCTCCCCTCACGCCCCGTCCACCCCTCCCATCTCGAATCACTCTCCTCACACGCGGCCACTTCAAACGGAAGCCGGCAGCCAGGAGTAGCGATAGCCTCAACCAAGCACCGCATGCACCGCTGCCTGTACCCCTGCAGCCTTCCCAACACCCCCTCCTCAGCATGCCACTCCGCAGGCCCCTTCATCTTCGCCCCGTCGTTCAACATGAGGTCAGAGGCCTCATCATAGAACAGAGCGAGCTTGAGCCACGAGTCTGTGTTGCTGGGATGGTAGCAGAGGTCGGCCAGCAGAGGAGAAGTGACCTGCAGCACGTGAGAGTGGCCCTTGGGCTCTAGGAAGAAGCCTGGCGGCATGTGGTGGCCCATGGGGATTGGCTCTATGCGCGCCAGCATGGCGAAGAGCGGATTGTACACGTCAGCGTACGTGTCACTGTTCATGGCATGGGACGAGTCTGCATGGTGGGCTGCTGGATGGTGGGAGGATGCCCATTCGGAGAGGAACGAGCGGGGATGCAGGACTGGTATGCAAGACAAGAGGTCTGGCGATGTATCTAAGGTGCTGGCATCATTGAGTTGCTCTCCTCCGTCACTCAGCCCCTCCTTGCCCTTCTCACCAAGCGCACCCTCCCTATCCTCCATACACCTCCTGCCCTCCTCCGCGCATCCATCCTCCCCCATCGCACGCCCCCCTCCCAACTTCCCCTCCTCTCCCAACCTCTTCCTCTGCACCAGAATCCTCCCCGCCATTCCCCAGTCGTTTATTTGTGGATCGTCCAAAAACGGCTCCACAGAGTGACGGGCGAGGATGGCAGGGGGAGGGGAGGGGAAGAAGGAGTGGATGGACGTCAGCAGCGGCACCAGCTTCACCAGCCGCTCGATCTGAGGGAAACAAGCAGTGGGAGTGCGAGGAGGGGAAAGGGGATCAGAACGAAGTGACGCAAACCACCAACAACCGAGAAGCAAGGATGGACAAAAGGTGCGCATTGAGACAGGGAACGCTAGCAACGCTGGGAATACTAGCAATGCTGGGAATACTAGCAACGCTTACAGTGAAGGAGGCAGTGAACGGTGCCATGTGCCTCAACGCTCGAGCGCACTGGTCCTTGGATTTCAACTCCCCAGCCAGGGTGTTCTCATGCTCAACCAACCCTGCTGCTGCTCCCTCCTGCCCTGCAGCACCACCGCTACTCTCCCCACCCACATCCTCCTCTGCCCCTCTCAGCTGTACCCCGTATAAGCACAAAAAGCATTGATCCATAGCCCCTTCAATCTCCTGCAGTGCGCATCTCCCTTGCACATCCTCCACCTTCTCGCCCTGCCCGCTGCCACTGACTGTTCCCCCATTCGTTCCCATACTCGCTCTCCCCACACCAGCAGTGTTGCCAACTCTAACAGCAGTTCCATCAACCTTGTCACCAGCAGACCCCCCAGCATTGTCGCCAGTCCGTTGCACGACCCTCGCGCTGCCACCTCCCTCCCTACCATCTCCTCCTCTTCCACCCTTCAGACCTCGTGCTCTTGGCTCCTTCCCCCCTGGAGCAGCAAGCTTGGTTTTCCTGCCTCCTGCATGCACTGAGGGGGTCAGCAGCGACTCTAGGTTGGTCAGCAGCTGAGCAGAGAGGGCAAGAAACGCGCCTCTACCACTCGGTGCTCTCGCTGCTGCTATTGTGGCTTCCCCTCGCTCAACCTCTGCTGCAGCTGTGCTGCTGTTGCCACGTTGTTGGCAAGATGATGCTGCACTGACAGCGGCTGAGGCGTTATTGGGTGTGGGCGAGGGGGGTATGTCAACGGACACGGAGGAGGAGGAGGAGGGGGAGGCAGGGGCACAGCAGAGACCTTGAGAAGCAAGGATGCTGTGTGCGATGGCACAAAGGCCCACCTGTTGACAAGAAGGGCGAGAAAGAAGGGAGAATAGAGCTCGCATGACCCCAGCAAGCTTCCCCCGAGAGCCATGCACAGATCCACCAACAAGATCCACCAACAAGAGGAACATCTACGCCTACGGAAACCAGAATGTCACGTGAGATTTATTCAAATCCAGTAACTTCACATCTTAACACCCACCTTATTGATCGGATTCACAGACACGCGCAAGTGCTGCAGGCAGCAGAGAACCATGCATAGATCCACCAACAGCCCCTGCCATGCCATGCCACCGCCATCCCCTGCCACACATCCAGAATCCCATACCTTATCTGTTGATTTCACAGACACGCGCAAGTGTTGCAGGCAGCAGAGCACCATACACAGATCTACCAGGAGCCCCTGCCACGCTGCCACCATCCCCTGCCACGCTGCCAGAATCCCACTTCTTGCTGCTGCTGCACCCAAGCCTGGCTGGTACACCTCCCTTGACAGCTGGCTCGCTGGCTGTTCTTGTAACACGCGGTGCTTGTAGAAGGCGAAATCAATAAGCACTGCCACGACTTGCTGGAGTTCCTCCAAGTGCTGCTCATTTACCTGGGGGCGCGGCAATGGAAGAACAATCAGGTGAGACAGGGAGCAGGTTATTGGGGCTATACACAGAATGCACAAAACAGTTAACATCCTTTACCATCCTTCTGTTCCCGTTGCCTCCTACTTTTCTTACCTGCGAATCCAATCCTGTCCCAAGCGCCATGGAGACCGTCAAGTCCCTCAGCCCCTGCACTGTCTGCATCAGCTCCGCGTCACAGCTCGCACCAGCATCACTTTTGCCACCAGCAGCAGAGACCTTCCCAGCAGCAGCAGCTGCAGCAGAGCCTTCCAAAGCAGCTGGCGCCACTGGCGTTGCTTTCACAGGTGCAGGGGGCAGCGCCCCCATGCTTATTCTGCCGGACAGCAGTGCGAGGATGTGCTTGTAACAAACCAGCGTCAACGGCTGCTCCTGAGCCATTCCACGTGTGGCAGCCACGAGTCTCTTAAGGGTCTCCAACCACTTGACAGAGCTCTGCTCGCTCTTATGACTGTCTGAATTCACCCCTTGACAGCTATCTGAGATTGAACTGTGAGAGGCCAAGCCTGGGAGACAGTAACTTCTTCTGCCCTTCTGCCTCCCAGCTCCACCGCCCATCCCTGCTGCTGCCCCATCCCTCAACAGCAGAGGCTTCATCATATTAATCAGTTGTTGCTGCTGCGGCGGCGGTTGGGGGAGCTCATACCCTACCTCGCCCTCTCCTGTCCCTGACAGCCCTGCCAGTGCACAATCCACATGCAGTACGCTCAACAGCTCGTCCAAACTCTGCACTGAAATACCCCCACTGGGGCCCCATACACATGCCAGATGCGGCACCTCCACCGCTGCATGTGCTAGTGCTGATACTGCTTCAGGCCCAGCTGTTGCTATTAACATCCCCTCAGCGCCATCTGTGCAGACCCTGCTCTGTTCCGCTCTGCCCAGCGCATCCCTGCACCACGTGAACAGCTCAATCGCCCTCCCATGCTCGCCCCTCCGCATCGCCACCTGCCCCTGGCTTGCTCTCAGCCGAACCCACAACCCCACCTTCTCCCAACCCCCTAAACCACTTTGCCTCGTTTTCTGACCTAGCTCCTCCGCCTCTCCGTCTGCTTCCTCTAGCGGCTCTCTCCCTTTCCCCACTCGGCCCCACGCATCCCCATCCACCTCCCACCTCACCCCTTCCTCATCCATCTGCCCCTGCTCTGCCATGGCAAGGCAATGCACGCACTCCCTCTCCACCGCCCCTCCCGCTGCCTCTCGCCGCCCTCTGTTCTCGCCATCACTTTGCATCCCCTTCACCAGATAAAGCTCCCCCAGATACAGCCAAACACGGGGAGAGCGGCCTTCCCACGAAGCTGTTTGTCTTTCAAGCCAGAGGAGGGAATCCAGGAGGGAGGGTGTGAGGGCGCAGAGGGGAATGTGAGAGGCCAAGTACTGCAACATATTCGAGGTTGCTTGGAGAAGAGGGAGGCGGATTGGCAGGGCGGCGAGGAATGACTGCACCTGCTCCACCTCTGCTGCACTCACTTGCTGGACCACACCCAACCGCTCTGCATCTCCTGCAGCGTCACGGCCATCAGCAGGAGTAGCCTTAACTTCCTCTGAAGCACTGGCACCCGCTCCAGCACCAGCATCCAATTCAGCTCTGGCGCCTGCTTCCACATCCACGCTGCTCCACTCCTCCTCCTTGCTGAAAAACCTCACCAGCACCTCCTTGCGTCGCAGCATGTGTAGCATCTTCAAACCATCGAATGCACCACCACCATTCCCCACACGAGCGCAGCTGGCACCCACAGCAGCAGCATCCGCACCAACGCCACCCTCAGCAACACCATCTGCAACACCCTCCTTACCCTCTCCATTCTTCCCAGCAACAGCCGAGCCGTCCACATCACGGGCTCCCATCAAGCGCGAGTGCTGCTTGAAGCAAGCACTCAGAATGTCAAACACACGCAGCCTCTTCGGTGGGAGGGGCTTTGCACTCTCCAGCAGGCTGCTCTCCTTCCCCTTGGCCTCCTTCAGCTGCATCTCCTTGATCTGCTGCCGCGTGCGCCTCTCCGTGCCCACAAACGACAACGGGTGTCTCATCCGCTTCCTTGACTTGGCAGGACCTGCAGGCGCTGTAGCATCAGGGGCTGCAGCATCGGGCGCTGTAGCATCAGGCGCTCCAGCAGCAGCGGCTACCTCATCAGCGGCTACAGTGGCAGAAGCGATGGCATCATGTGATGTGGCAGCAGGTGCTGACGCAGCTACAGCTGAGGCATCAAGGGCGGGTTCCACCGCTGCTTCTATCAACGCGGCAGGCGTAACGATGGGCGACTCCTGAGTGGACATTGGAGTCGCATCAGCAGAAGTTACTGCAGTATACGTTTCTTGAGTCTGTGTCAGTGGTGTCTGCGTTAGTGGTGTCTGTGTCAGTGGTGAGTCTGCAAGTGGTGGTGTCTGTTCTGGTGGTGCATCGTCTGCATCAGGAGGACCTAAAGCAGCTGGCAGCTCAGCTGTAGGTGTGGGAGTGGCATCAGGAGGCGACTGCGAGTCCTCCATGCTAAGATCAACCACAGCAATCGAGTCGGGCTGAGATAGCACAGTGACGGCGCGGGAGGATGGGTCAGGCTGAGACAAGGCAGCAGGAGGGTCAAGCGGTGCTTCAGGCAGAGGCGACTCTGAGGGATGGGAAGCTGGAAACGGCTGGGCCAACGCTGTGGGTGCTGATGCTGCCTCAACTGGGCATGATTTGTGCCCGGATGCCATATCAACAGAACAATCCCTTCCAGACAAAGCAGCTTCCCCAGCAGCGCAGCTCCGCAGTTTCTGCTCCTTTGGAGGCCCTTGGTTATCATCGTTCCTCCCACAACCGATTTCGTCGCCCTCTCTGACAAGACCCTCAGCGCGATGATTGGGATCACCTCCTTGCGGGCTGCCCGCCAGCACAACCGTCACAGACACGCCAGCCACCGGCTGAGGGTACTCCAATCCCCGCCTTTCCACCGACCGCTGCTGCACCGTGCGTAACACGTCCACAATGTTCAAGATCAGCTCGGCCCAGGAGCGACCGCGCAGCTCAAGCACCGGCCGGTGTTGAACGGACACCTCACTGCTGCCCAGTGGGCTCCCCTGCTGCTCAGGCTCTTGCTCCTGCGCTTCCTCTGCTGAGAGCCCTGCAGTTGCCCCTGCTGACGGCCCAGCATCCAGGCCATTCTCATCGCCAGCAGCAGCAGCGAAGGAGCGAGCAGCAAGGCCGTCCAATGCTGCTTGCAGCGCAGCAGGGTCTGGATGGAACACCTCGTTCGCCATGGCCAGCACTTGCCGCGCGCGACCGTGAGTGGGCGCCAGGTGGAGTATGTAGGCCGCGAGCTCGTGTGCTGCCTGCCAGTCGTCCAGAGTCACCAGCACTCCCAGCAGCTTGTTCAGACACCCCCCTGTTGAGGCAACGCATGCAGCGGAAAAGGCAACGCAACGGTCATTAGTACGTGCCGTGCAGCAGACACGGCATGAAGTGGCGTATGTGAATGATAACACCCCTAGTGTGAAGCAGCTGTGGCATGGGCTAAATCGGATGGTAGACGCTGCATGGACGTACAGTGGTAAGGGCTGCAGGTAAGGCCTTGTTCCAACGCGTATCTCGCCAGGCGAGCTCGACCTTCGGTTCGGAGCGCCATGGATCCGAGCCTGTGCCAGAGGACTGCATCCTGACCGTCGATCTCCGTCGCTGTGACGTAAGCACGCAGTGCTGACTCGCTATAGTCACTACCCAGCTTCGCGTACACGTCGCCTAGATTCTTCCACACCAAAAATCTGGATCAGCGGCACAGCGAAGCGCTCCCGTGGTTAGGTGACTGCGGACTGGAAGAAGAGCGGAGAATAAAAAAAAAGGAACGGCTTGACTTACTGAAGGTGACGCATCTCCGTCAGCCCTCCCCCTGCTTCAGCCTGCGACCACAACCACAGACACGAATGCATTCGTCAGCGACGGGTGAGTCTAACCGTGAGAAGCCACAAGTCGAGCTAACGCTGATGCACTACGAGACTACGACCCGAACGCGTCTAAAACGAGTCGAGCGGATTTCGAAATTAGACATGCGAAGCTACTGGCCAGCCGTAGAAAACCACGCGACGCGTAGCGTCAGACACGAGCACGAGTCGCAGCGATCCTACCTGGACTTCCTCCCACAGCGGATGGCAGGACATTTCCTCCAGAGCCTCTCTCGCCTCCGACAAACGGCCATTTCCGATTTTAACGAGCGCTTCCTGATACGCGTCTTGCAACGCCGACTCCTGCTCACGCGACGGTCGAAACCGACGAATATATTAAAAGCTGGTGGAATCTGAAGCGGAGAAGAGCGACGAGAGCGAGAGAACGAACGAGGGCGACGAAGGAAGCAATGGCTACCTGCGCTTCTCTGGTGGGACCTCCTCTCGACTGTGCTTGAGGACGTACGGCATCGTTGATGCAAGATATGGAAAACTGCGCAGGAACGAATTCAAGCGGAGATTGAGCTAAAACGGTATACCAAATGCATAGCGAATTATCTGGGACTCTCTCAGGGATCTGAGGGAAGAGAAATTACTAAAGTGAATTAATTTGATTTAGCAGGTACAAAGAAGATTAAGCAAGTTTGGCTCTTGGCAACTAGTAAAGGTGGTGCTGTCGGGAGCATTCTAAGAAGGAAATTATTTATCTACAGTGCAACAGATTACCATGGTTTCTGAAGGCTAGGGTCATTAGGGGAGCTGCAAACGTCAATGGATGCTGCTTTCCAAGAAAAACGGTTTCCTGAGGGTGGTTCAGAAGCAAGATTAGCTGGTAGAGCAGCTCTTGCTTCCAGCAAACTTTGCTGCACCAGTCCATCTCTCTGCTCGAGCAGCTGCAGATGCTGCATCACAGCACACTGCGCGTGAGAGGGATGGGGCCTTTCTTGGGATCAAGGTATGCTGATTTATTTCAGATTCGTCTTTGTGTGGAACCTTATGAAATTGGTGCATTTACAGGGATTTTGGCCACCTCTGGCCTGAACTTCGCTTCCTCCCTCCCCATGCAATGCGAAGATGATCTCGGGGATGGGTCACGTTTTGTTTTTCGCGAATATGGACTCACGAAGAGCTCCTCATGGTAACCTGCAGCAAACGTCACGCTTCTTCAAAACCCAACTTGATAACAAGCATAAGCTTCATCTCATGCGAATTTGTGTAAACGATTTGATATCACAGTGAGCTGAGGCGAGATTTGCTCGTTTGAAGCTCAAACCCTCACGTTTTCGGCGGCAACTCTGACCGGGCTTTCTGACTCCGTGTGTGTTGTCCGCAGCACGTCACAGCAGCCACCACATCCCAACGCCTGCCCCAACCAACCCCGCCTCCGTGTTCCCGCTGCCGCCAATTGCCAGCGCTGGTTACCATCCGACGAAAGGTCGTCCAGAAACCTTCGCGCGACCGTGCTGTACACGTGGCTTCGCAACGTTGCTGTCGGTAGTACCCTGGGGGGTTCGCACTGCCGTACGATGCCTTTCGGGGTCGCACAAAAAACTTCGCATCTCTCGCTGACCACAACAGCCTGTTCGCAAAACGCGTAACCCCCAACCCGCCACCACCCCGATGACCTCGGTGTTCGTCTAGATCTCATCTCTTCCTCGCATCTGATCCGTAGATCTGATCTGGTGATGACATCTCCTCCCTCCATCCACCCTACCCTACATTTTCTCCTCAACCTGCCATCACAACAGAGGAAGAACGTCCCTTTCCTCCAAATCACCAGTTCCCTACACACTTCCAGCTTCTTTGACATCTGCCTCCTTTCATCAACGCCACACTTCGCTTTCTGGCTGTAACCGTTGCCGCTGCCTGTTTCCACGGCCTCGCTCTCTCACACCAGCTCCGCATCACTCACGAGTCATGGCCTGGGGAAAGCCTGGAACCGGCGTGGTGAAGTCGTACGCCGTGGAGTGGTCGACCATGGAGCAGACGACAGCCAAGGCCGCGGAGCGGGTGAGGGACGAGCGGGTCCCCGAGGAGGACGAGGAGGAGGACGAGAACCCCGTGTGCCCGCTCTGCATTGAAGAGCTCGACGCCACGGAGATCCAATTCCGGCCATGTCCCTGCGGGTGAGGCTCTAGTGCCACGCACTGCTGGTCAAACGGGAACTAACTCATGCGATAGGAAAGTTAGATCTGACCTAAGCGTGGTGTTTGAGTCAGCCTCGTTTCTCAGGGGTCGGGTGAGGTTAACGTCGGTTATTGGATCTGGCGTTGCAAGGCGGCGACGACAGTCGGGCTTCTTAGGTTACTAGGGTACTGTTACTTCCTTCAAATTCTCTCTTGTTTCTCCATCCTTTATCCTTTTTTCACATATCCCTTCCATTTCTGTGTTCCGTTCCGCACTGCAGATACCGCGTGTGTCTGTTCTGCTACGAGCGAATCAAGCTCGAGCTCAAAGGCATCTGTCCCAGTTGCCGTTCGACCTACGGCGACCCGCAAATGGCGGCGCCGCCGCAGCCAACCGCATCGGGTGCGTCATCGTGTAAACGGAGGGGGTCTATCTCTCGCAACGGCGACAGCAAGGCGTCCGAGCAGGGAGCGTCGATCGCTGGAGCGTCGCTGGGAGTGTCGATTCTGGGAGCTGGCGACCATCGCTGCCATTCGCGAGTGTCGCCCGCTCCGCCGATACTCGCCGCGTCGGAATTCCCGACTCTATCGTCGTCGCCTCCGCTCTCAGGTGGGCTTAAGTCACTGTTTCGTCGCGTAAGCTTCTCCTCCTTTCCCTTGTCGTTCCCCCGTGTAGTGCCTTTCTTGTCTGAACATCCTTGCGTTGCGTACCCCGTCGTCCCCACCGTCGCCCCCACCGTCGCCCGTTCCCTCCAGTTCAACCTAGAAGGGGGCCATCATGGGAGAAGCCTCGTCCGGCCGTTCCACCGTCAGCCGCCCCACCATTCCCACCACCATCATCATCATCGTCGTCATCAGCAGCAGCAGCCGCAGCAGCATCTTCGTCATCAGCATCGTCGTCCTTAGCGCCATGGGCGTCAGTCTCAGCCACAGCCACAGCCACAGCCACAACCACAGCTACAGCCCCTCCATCGTCGTTTCCGCCACTCCTGCCGCTGGACCCGCCTCAGCAGCCCGCTTCGCAGAGCCACGTGGCTTCGAGTCACGCGACGCAGAGCCGCGCAGCTGCGGCTGCGGGCGCGCGGCGTTTATCGTCCGACGCCCATGCCGCGTCGAGCGTAGAGAACTCCGGTGCGTCTTGGCCCGCGCTCAAGGCAGAGCCAGCTTCGGCAGCCGCGTCTGTGTCCGCCGTATCGAGTCAGTCTCAAACGGGGAAGTCTGCGGGCAGAGACGCACGCAAGGAGCTGGGCGGGGAGAAGGGTAAGGAAGCGGGGAAAGCGGCCGAGGGTGACAAGTCCGCGACGGTCGCTTCTGGGGCCCCTGCGGCGGCGGGTAGGAAGCAACAGCTTCCGCTAGCTTCGGCGGGTGCTGCGACGGATGTCGCGGTATCGAGTTCCGCGTCGTCCGCAGCGGTTCGTTCTTCGGCAAAGGCGTCGACTCGCACTGTCAGTCCTCCGCCCGTGCCTGCCAACTCCGCCTCACGCGTGCCCGCCACCGCGTCTCACGAGCCGGCGCGCGACAACGGCGCGACCAGCGTCGGCAACGGCGGGGCCACGAGCAGGAGCAACGCGAGGAGCAGCGCCACCGCCACCGGCGGCAGCGGAAGCGGCAACGATAGCAGCAGCGGCAGCGGCAGTGGCAGTGGTAGTGGTAGCGGTAGCAGCAAGAGTAGCGGCGGCGGCGGCGGCCGCAGCAGGAGCAGCAGCAGCGGGAGAGGGAGCTCGTCCGACGATGAGATGGGGTTCAGTCTGAGCGACCAGCTCGCGGAAATGCTGCTCAACAGCCCCGGCCGCGCCGACCTCGGTGCTTCCGCCGCGCAAGCAGCCGCAGCGGAAACAGGTGTGGCGGAAACACGCGTATTGCAGCAGAACGGAGCAGGGGAGAGCAGACGAGTTGCGGCATCGATTTCCAAACCTGCCAGTTCCGGTGTGCCGAAACCATCCAGCTCCGTTCCGTCTCTTCCGAGGATTCGGGACGACGCGTCACCGCACAGCACCGATTCATCCATCCCGCTCGCCGCTGCCGGCCCCCACGGCAGCATCTCCTCGCCGTCCTTCTCCACGTGGCTCTCTCCGCACTCCACCTCCTCCGCCGCTACCGTCTCCAAACCCGTCTTATCCACCGCTAACGGGGTGGCTTGTAACGGGATTGTTGTTCCGGGCTGGGCGTCGTCCGGCGGGAGCGGGCTGGAGCGGCTGCAGCAGCTGCACGCGCTGCAGCGGCAGCTGCAGCAGGCGTTCGTGGGTGTGGGATGGTCGACGGACGAGATGCAGCGCGCCAGTGAGATCGTCGCTGCGGCGAAGCAGTCTCAGAGCCGCTTCTCGGGTGCCGGCGCAGCATCAGCAGCTGCAGCAGCAGCAGCGGTGGCGCCCACTGTAGCAGCAATGCCGCCAGCAGCAGTTACCACATTTCCCCTTTCCGCTACCCCGGCTGTCCCTGCGTCCGCCGCTGCTCCTAAGACTGCCCCATCCAAGCCTGTCACCCCGCCTCCTGGCTTCCGCCCTCCCGCTCCCCCTGGCTTCGCGCCCCTGTCCCCGCCTCCTGGGTTCGGCCCGTCCGCGGGCGCCAAGAAAGCGGACGCGGGCGCGGGTGCGAGCGCGCTAGTACAGGCCGATGTGCAGGCGCAGGCCGCCGCAGCAGCAGCAGCGCGGGCTGGATCGGGGCTAGGGTTATCCGTGCAATCGGTGGAGTCAGTGGGAGCAGCATGGGGGTGGGGGGCCTCGGGCGCACTTGCCGCCTCCTCCTCTGCCTCGTTTGGCTCTCCTCTGCTGACCTCTGGCTACTCCAGCGCTGCAGGCTACCCCACCACCAGTGCAGCCGGCTATACCGGTGCTGCAGGGTATTTCTCAGGGTATGCCAGTGCTGGAGGGGTGTCGGGGCGGAGTGGGAGTGAGGTTGGGGCGTCGGGGAGTGTGGGGTTGGCGAGAGGGACGTGGGGTGGAGGGGACGCGGATGCTGCTGTGGCTGCTATTGCGAGCATCTGGGGTCAGGAGAACGGTGCGACGGCTGCTGCAGAGTAAGTGTCCCGCTCGCTCCTCGCACTTGATTTTATTATTTCTGCCAGTCGCTGCCACTTTCAGTGCTGCTTTTCAAACGTGTCACCTAGTATTGTGTTTGCACCTCGTCTCCCTCTGGCATATGTCATCCTGATCTTATCACCCGTTAGGAATCAAAGCACTCGCTCAATGCTGCTCCCATCCCACGTCTTGCCCTGTGCAGGAACACCAAGTGGCAGTCAGTGGGGTCAGGCCTGCAGTCCTTCTCAGGAGGGTCCATGTCCATCCCCATGTCCACGTCGCTCTCTCTCCTCGGAGCTTCCATCTGGAGCAACGGCTCCATGCAACCCTCTCAGCCGTCTCAGCACCCCAGCGTTTCCCAGCACTCCGGCATGTGGGGTTCCTCGGCGCTGGCTCGCTCTCCCTCACCGCAGCCTGCAGCAGCTCTCGCCTCTGCTGCCCTGCTCTCGCAGGGTGGAGGGAGTGGGGCAAGGGGGGCTTGTGCGCCGCTCTTCCCTCCTGGGATATCGTCGGTGTCGCTTGGGCAGGGTGTTTCCTCGTTTCACCATTCGGTTTTGCCGCTTGGACTCCCGCTGTGATTGGTTTGGTTGACTTGTTCCACTTTCGGTACCTACCACATTCATTTGATTTTGACTCTTTATGTTGTGCGACACCAATCAAATGTTGTGTTGACTTTTGAATAGCTGATACGGCAAGCTTGATTGATGCATTGTTACTGGTGCTTGTTTCCAATTCGATTTACAAAAATAGGCATAGGTACTACTGTCTTGTACAGTAAATGAATCAACATTTGCAGTGATTTGTCGAGTATAGCGAGGCAACATTCGGCATTACCTGACTTCGCGGCGACGCGTCGTCAGTGAACTACGACTGTAGATATAGCATCGTTTGAAACGCGCCTGCATAGGCTCTTGAATTTACGTCATCCAACGGCAACGGCTGCCATTCCAGCGTTAGCGATGCGACGAGCACGGAAGTGATCGCTAATTTGTCGCCTGAACATGCCGGCGATAGATTTAGGTCCGTTCCTAGCACGCCATAGCGTTAGCTGCAGTACAGCAATGGTTTTCGTCGACTTACTGAACCAGGCGGAATGGTAATGGAATCGAAGCTCGTTTCTGGACCTGGACAGCTTTTACTGAGAAATATCTTGCGTGTATGAGCTGAAACACCTGTCACCTAGTAAACCAGTCGCGATGGGAACAGGATCGAAGGCTGTTTCCGATGCCACGTGGCATAATCTAGGCATGGTCGCCGGGTCGCTGTTCGCCATCATCGTCGCCGTCGCTTTCCATCAATACCACTCCTCCACCATTGTTGAGGTGCGACGTCCAATCATGGAATCTACGTCAACTGCCGCTGGCTCCTCCCTTCTGGAATCCTTATGCATTGTGCTATGGATGAGAAGCAAAGGTACAGTGCTGTAGCTTCGGTATCATTCATCCGTGTATCCCGGTGCTCAAGCCTCCGGTATTTCCCCACCCCTATCCCCGCACCATACTCCTCCCCTTTCCTATCCTCACTCCTTCGTGCCACGTCATCAGCTCAAATCGTTGCTGCAAGAATCCAGGGACCGAGCAACTGACGTGGATGCGGTTCTAAGAGACGTCAAGACGTTGCTTACCAACCCTTCCAGCAAGGCGACAGACACACAAGGTACACCTGTAAGGCATAATTAGGGTTTGCTACCTTATCACAGTCAAATCAGGCACTTTAACCCTTCCAGCACCCTACGTTTCTGCACTCGCAATGCTCCCTCACAATTCCCTCCCTTTCCCCACCCTGCCAGCCGGCACTCACCTCAACCAGCGGTGCATCCTGGCCGTTGATCGCGGAAGCATCAACGCCTCTCTGCTGGCCGACACATCGTCTCCGGATTATCTGGAAGACAACGCCAGGCACCTGCCGTCATGGCTCTCCTCCCAGCTCATCAACCAGTGAGTGGAAGGGGTGGAAGGGGGTGGAATAGGGTGGAAGGGTTGGAAGTGCATCGCCCCAGCTAGCCGACACGTCGTCCTCGGATTACCTGGCGGACAATGCCAAGCACCTGCCGTCATGGCTCTCCTCGCAGCTCATCAACCAGTGAGAGGATGGGGGTGGAAGGGGGTATCAGGGAAAGGTTGGGAGGTGAACAAGGAGGGACAGACAAATCAGGATGAGACAAGCTGGCTGCTGACTATCTGGAGGGGAACGCCAAGCACCTGCCGTCATGGCTCTCCTCGCAGCTCATCAACCAGTGAGAGGAAGGCTGGGGGTATGAAGCGGGAAGGCTGGGTGTTGAGTGTAGGGAGGGACTGGATGGAGCAGGAACAAGGGGGGAGAGACAAATCAGGATGAGACGAGTTGGCTGTTGACTATCTGGGGGGGAACACCAAGCACCTGCCGTCGTGGCTGTCCTCCCAGCTCATCAACCAGTGAGAGGAAGGGGTGAAACGGGGTGGAAGGGGTTGGAATGGGGTGGAATGGAGTGGAGTTGAGTGGAAGGGGATGGAAGGGGACGGAAAGAGGTGGAAGCAGTGGAAGCAGGTGGAAGGGGAAGGAAGGTGGAAGGCTGAGTGGCGAGTGTAGGGAGGAGGGGGAGGACAAGCAAGAAGGGAAGAGAGACGTATCAGGATGAGGCCAATTGGTTTTGACAGGAGAGATATAATCAAATCCCAACAGCAGCAGTGCCCATGACTCACTCATGACTCATGAGCCGCAGCGTGCCGTCGTTCTCTCTCTCATTCTAGCCCCGCATTGCTTTCTTGCCTCCTCGTCTCTTCTACTGCTGTCCACAGGCTGTACGCGCAGCGCCATGGCTACACTTTCTACTCGATAGAAGCCATCACGCCTATGCTCATAAGCGAAGGCATCGACCCCAACACCATTAACAGGGTATGCTTGCAGTGTGTCCTGTGCGTGTGTACAGCCCAGGGTGCGTATGAGCGGGCGATGCAGCGTATGAGCGGGCGGTGCAGCGTATGAGCGGGCGGTGCAGCTCCAGTCCCCAAGCTGGGACTGCAGCTCCAGTCCCCACGCTGGGACTGCAGCTCCAGTCCCCACGCTGGGACTGCAGCTCCAGTCCCCAAGCTGGGACTGCAGCTCCAGTCCCCAAGCTGGGACTGCAGCTCCAGTCCCCAAGCTGGGACTGCAGCTCCAGTCCCCAAGCTGGGACTGCAGCTCCAGTCCCCAAGCTGGGACTGCAGCTCCAGTCCCCACGCTGGGACTGCAGCTCCAGTCCCCAAGCTGGGACTGCAGCTCCAGTCCCCAAGCTGGGACTGCAGCTCCAGTCCCCAAGCTGGGACTGCAGCTCCAGTCCCCACGCTGGGACTGCAGCTCCAGTTCCGGTGCAGCTTATGAGTGTGCGGTGCAGCGTATGTGCGGGCGGTGCAGCGTATGAGCGGGTGGTGCATCGTATGAGCGGGCGGTGCAGCGTATGAGCGGGCGGTGTAGCGGAGGTGCAGCTTATGAGCGTGCGGTGCAGCGTATGAGCGTGCGGTGCAGCGTATGAGCGGGCGGTGCAGCTCCAGTCCCCAAGCTGGGACTGCAGCTCCAGTCCCCAAGCTGGGACTGCAGCTCCAGTCCCCACGCTGGGACTGCAGCTCCAGTCCCCAAGCTGGGACTGCAGCTCCAGTCCCCACGCTGGGACTGCAGCTCCAGTCCCCAAGCTGGGACTGCAGCTCCAGTCCCCACGCTGGGACTGCAGCTCCAGTCCCCAAGCTGGGACTGCAGCTCCAGTCCCCACGCTGGGACTGCAGCTCCAGTCCCCAAGCTGGGACTGCAGCTCCAGTCCCCACGCTGGGACTGCAGCTCCAGTTCCGGTGCAGCTTATGAGTGTGCGGTGCAGCGTATGTGCGGGCGGTGCAGCGTATGAGCGGGCGGTGCAGCGTTTGAGCGTGCGGTGCAGCGTATGTGCGGGCGGTGCAGCGTATGAGCGGGCGGTGCAGCGTATGAGCGTATGCCTGTGGACAGCGTATAAGCGCCTACCAGCTGTGCCACGCCTCTGCATGTGTTACCCTTTCACCTCGCTGCTCCCTCACCATCTCTCAGCCCTCCACCGCCAAGCCCTAGCATCCTTCTGCACCTCTCCACGCTGCTCCACTCGCCTCCTGCACCCCCAGGCAGTGCGCCAACATGCTGTCGGTGTTGACCTGGACGACTTTTGAGGGGCGGAAAGCCCGCCTGTTGCATCTCAGCCATTCTTCCCTCTCTCTCCCAGCTTTGAGACGCCTCATGTCTCTTCCTTTCCTCTTTACTCTATACCGCCCACGACCCCCCGCCCTCTCCCCCCGACCCCTCCAACCCCAGATCGCCTTCATAAACCGCCAGCTGGCGTGCTGCTGCCGGTGGGTGCTAGCCCTGGTGGACGGAGCATACATCCGTTTGGAGCAGCACAGCCTGCCCGTGGAGCACTGGCTTGCACTCGTGGCGCTCCACACAGACAAACTTACAGCAGGCCGATTATCACGCTGTGCCTCCTCCCCTTTCTGCCAGATCGCCTTTATCAATCGGCAACTAGCATGCTGCTGCCGGTGGGTGCTAGCCCTGGTGGACGGAGCATACATACGTCTGGAGCAGCACGGCCTGCCCGTGGAGCACTGGCTTGCACGCCTGGCCCTGCCCGACACCTTTGAGTGGATCACGCGCTCGGGCATAGACATGGATAATCAGACCTGGTTCCCCTCTGACCCTGCCTCTCTGGTGGCTGATGGGAATTCGGAGCAGGAGGGGAAGGGGGGAGCAGATGAGCGGCAGGAGAAGCACGGGCAGGAGGGAAATGGGAGGTGGGGGGGGGAGCAAGGTGGAGAAGGGGAGGAGGAGAGGGAGGGGAGGGAGGGGAAGGCGCGGAGATTGATAGGGTTGGTGGGGCGGTCGGGGGATGGGGTGTATGGGCTGGCGGGCAAGGCGGGGACTCTGTTTCATGAGAGCGTGCCGTTCGTGGGCAACGCTGCAGTGCTGCTCACTCACAGTGGGGACACGTTCAAGGTGCGTCAAGGTGAAGGTGAGACGTGTGCAAGGTAG